ATGAAACACCAGGCAACATTGGTTTCAGCTAAAATCATCTTCTTGTTCTAGATGGCCTGAGGGTGAGTAAATTACCAGCAAATTTTTATTATTGGATGAACTATTCATTTAAATTTAGGCCTAAACATTTTTCTGAGTGTAAGGGGCTGAATGAAAACAAGAAACTACAGAACAGCTGGATACTTTTCCTATCTATAGAAGATGTCTCGTATACAACCAAGAAAAATGAGCAATGATCCATTCATCACGAGTGCCCTCCCTGCCAGATTTCAATCAAATGGAGTGGCACAATAGCCAGCGGGCAATTTTTAACGTCGACGTGCAAAGTACTTTGTGATTAATAACAGCCCGGCGATGATTTGACTGCAATGAGAATCATAATCTTACTAAACGTCATCGTGATTCTCATTATAATCATAATCACCGGCTTCACCATCCTGATCATCGTTACACTATAATCAGCGTAATATCCTTCAAAATACATATGCAAGTTTCAGCTTTGCGCACTGCGCCATGCTCATGCATGCGACATCTATCATTTTCCTTTTTAAGTCAAGCAAGATTCAGTTTAAATGAGACTATTTTAATGGGCAGGCGACTGGAGGCTGTGATACTGATATTAGAGACTTCGCTATATCTTCTCTGGGAAGAGACGATGACATGAATTATGGAGATGTCCACTTTTCTACAGATTTATACTAATTCAATAGTCACTTATGTGTGCATATTCAATGCTATCTCTAGAGAAGTCATTTAGCATGAACTTACATAATGCCAATGCTCAGTTACCATAGAGCATTCACGTTAGAAGACACAAGTACAAGCACATCATTTGGTTGTGTTCTTACCCTAATCATTAGCTATAGGAAATATTCAGAATGGAAATAAAAGGGAGAGGGAAAATAACAAGAGTTATCAAATCTCATTAGTTCATAAAAACAAGAACTTTGAGGAGTTCGGAGGCACTGGGCTCAGCTGGTTTTGCTGATCAAAGGGAATAACTCATTTAAAAAAAAAATGAATTCTGACTTAGGAGTTCAGTGCTTGTATATGTACACTGCAGAAATCTAAGAGCAAACCCAGAGCACTGGAACAGGAAAAAGTGCAGTAACACCAGGGAAAGCCTTGCAAAGGAAGCTATTATTGCCCCTTTTTAAATTCTGAAGCAAAAACACTATTACTTTGTAGAGGGCATTAGAGTGTGTAACACAGGCAGTCTACTCTTGAGGTCTATGCCAGGATGATCTTAACAAAATGTAACAGTTCTAAATAAGTTAAATGAAATTTACAGCTGTGTTAATACATGCATATGTATAATCTGTTCAAAACACACATTTATATATTTTAGAGATGCTGTCACATCCCATAACCTAATAACCTGCAGAGATAAACTGACACCAAAATGATGGATTTAAAAGCATCATAAAGGATTTGTGAAGATACAGTCGATTATCTATTTTGTGTTTTATATCTTTATGTATTTATTCATGTTCAATCTCCATTTAGTATGAAAAAACTAAATGTATTCAAAACTATTAATTTGTATTCAGTATTCAAAAATACTGAAAGTATTCAGCTATTAATTTGTTAGAACACACAGATCATGTTTGTAACAATTTCACATCAATAAAAAGTACCTAGTTGAAAAAACATGCATTTTTTATGTAAACCCTAATATGGGCTACAAGAAATTATAAGACCAGGCAGATACATGGGTAAAAAAAAAACAGGTCAGACTTTATTTTAAGGTCTAATTCTCGCTATTAACAAACCATTAACTATGATTTTTGCCTAATTTGCTGCTTATTAATAGTTAGTAAGGTAGTTGTTAAGTTTAGGTACTGGGTAGAATTAGGAATGTAGAATATGGTCATGCAGAATATGTGCTCTATAAGTACTAAAACACAGTTAATATGTTAATAATAGTCATGCTAATAAACAACTAGTTAATAGTGAGAATTGATCCCCATACTAAAGTGTTACCAAAAAACAATATTAATAAATATATAAAAACAATACGAATGATACGAATAATATGACTACTTATGCTATTGATATACAGACAGACAGTAACTAAAGAGAGAGGGGGCAGCACAAGGAACTGTTTGGGAAAAGATACCTAGGTCAACATTCATTTTCAACCAGAGGGATAATAGTGTAACTGACAATAGTGCGGGGACGGCCCCTCGAGAGGCCCCTGCAGCATCGACCCTGTCTGTATCTATGGAGCAGTGCACACCTTTCGTCTCCACCTCTGATGTCTTTGAAGAAAGGAGATATGAGGGAAGGGTAAGGAGAAAAGAACAAGGAGATGAAAAGAGAGAAATGTGTATCCTGTAACTGCATGACCACTGATGAGAGGTGTGATTGCTGCCTGCCACCATATAAAATCCCTTAATAAGACACTATCACAGCAGCAACACTGATTTACAGGGGACATTTACAAAGGCAGAGCAGCACCATTAACACTTGAGAATGAAACCACAGATCACACATACAGTGCATCAAATGGGCACAACCGTACGCAGAATACAGGCCATTTCTGTGAGATATCACCAAGAACGTCTGCACTGAAAAAAAGGAAAACAGCAGAACGACACAGCCCCTGTAAATCCACATTATAACAGTCATTACATCTGCTTTTTTAATAACCCTTTCCGGCGAAATTGTATAAGCTTGAATGAGTTGTTTTAGGCAGCTGTTATATTTTTTCATTATGTGACATGAAACGGAGGTGGTAGAATTCTTCACAGCAAAACAAAGCTCTGGTAATATTAGTGAAGATCAATTACATTTTTTCTATGGAATCCAAAAGCAGTCTGATTTATTTTATAGAGGGTAATTTCGAAGCACAGACGAGAGGCAGAAACACAAAAGTGGGAAATGGAGGAGCTGCAATTTTGGACGGTGGTGGTAATGTGCCATAATCTGCTGCCAGGGGATGCCTGATGCAGGACTCCAGACTAAAAAAATTTACTCTGGAGCCACTGAGGCATAAAAGGAAACATTCAGAAGCCAGATTACTTTTTTTGTTGCTGAATTATAGAACCACTCAATATAGATCAGAAAGTACCGTCATCCATGATGATGTTTAGTTATGTCAATGAATTTTGAGGATCTATTGCAGTGGATTTACATGGAGGCACATCACACTCTGTGCTTTTACACTTTGGCATTGTTAAAAGACCAGTTAGCATGTGGAATGACTGCAGAAGTATATTTATAAAAATACGGTTCTGTTCTTGGAGCTCATAGCTAGTTAATTTGTTCCCTTTCAATCAACAAACACTGCCATGGGCTGCGACAAAGAGACAATTGATTAATCTAAATCAACGACTAAATAAATAAGAATAGCACGATATAATGTCTAATAATTATAAATAGTAGGGATGCACGATATATCGGCCACCATATCGGTATCGGCCCATATCGGCTCATTTTTTTTTATTGATTTGAGGTAAGATCTTTTTAAATGATCAGAAGTGACAGAATTTTCACTTGTTCTAAAATTACATATTTTTACAATATTGCTGCTTTTACTGTATGTTCAATTTTTTTTGTCTATTTTAAATAATATAATATAATATGATATATACAGGTGCATCTCAATAAATTAGAATGTCGTGGAAAAGTTCATTTATTTCAGTAATTCAACTCAAATTGTGAAACTCGTGTATTAAATAAATTATATTCACACATCAAATTTTTGAAATGTCAATTGTTGATTTCAGGCAGTAATTGATTTAAAACTATTACTTGTGATTTCTATAGCGATTCAATGCTTTACAAGCACAAATTAATGGGGACCTTGAACAGCGTTGTTCGTGCCCTCACATTTCTCTTTCACACACTCCACTATTTATCGCCTGTCACAGAATTGCGCTCGTGCTTTGTGCATAGCTCTCAACAACACATTTTTTGAGCTGCCAATGTGTGATCTCTCCTTAGTACTCGTGGCCAGTACTGCTAAAGTAAAGTAGTTTTTACTTTTCTGTTTTCAGTGGCTCTCAGTCATACCATTGACATTAGCTGAGCAGTTGAAGGCTGCGCATTTGGACAGAGCAAAAACAATGTAAGTGTCTAAAAGCATACATGTATTTTCACTGAATGATAAATGACTTTTAACTTAATGTTGTTAAACCGAATGTACAAATGAAAACTTTAAATAACCACAGCATTAACAACAACCTTGAAATAAGAGAGCGAGGTTTATCTGTCAATCACACGCATGAAAGTTGCGTTCGTGATTATAGCAAACAGTGCATCCTCATTCGCCGATAAAAATAAAAAGTTAAATGCTGTAGCATTGTATTTTATGAAAATAAGATAAAGAAACTCATATCATGCAAAGGTGTGACATAAAATGTTACCCTATACATTCACACTATGCTACACAATAGTTAACACGAATTTTACAAAACCTAGTGAAAAATAAATATACTAAAATATATTTAAAATAAATGTATTTCATGCTAAGTATACTACAAATAAAATTACATGTTTATGTACTTAATAAAAACACCCTGCAATTGTACTTTTAGGCCCGGTTTCACAGATGGGGCTGAGGCCTTAGTTAAATTAAGATATTTAAGCAGCTTTTATAAAAATGCCTTATAAAAAAAAAAACATTTCATGAGTGCATCTTGAGACAGAATAATGGCACTGACATAACCCTATGAATCGTGAATCGAATCGAGTCGTAGTTTACTCAAAGATGCACAGTCCTAGTGTGCACCAATACCACTTTGCATATCCACGTTCTAGTTTTGGTGTTGTACTATACTATTATCTAATAATTTAAATACTTTTAAGTCATCCTGCAGCACTAGAAGTTTGCTAAGGCCCTCTGGTTGAGAAACACCGTACTTGGCTTAAGTCAGCGAACTTTCTGTACAGTCCAGCAGACAGAGCAACACACACTGTGAGGACAAGGGTGGTTAAAAGAAGATTAAATCATTTTCAGAGTACATGGTAGATTAAACTTTGATTAAAAGAACTACCTGATATACATGATAGGCGTTGGCAGCCCGACCTTGAAGGAACACAGAGGGGATCCACACGTTGATAAGGGCACGTTGTGTTCTTAGAGAGACAAGGAAGGAAAAAACAAATTGGGAAAGTCTAATTAGAGAACCTTAACAGAAGAGTCATTTAGCAACAGATTAGTGTAGCTACAATCACTTTATCGGCCCAGGGGTATGAAAAATCACTCCTTTGACAAACTGAGGGGGAAAAAATTACAAATATTGACACCAATACTAAAAACAGTTGAGTAAATACTTGAGCCATTACTGGGAAAAAATTGTCTTTTACTTAACACACAAGTTTAACATTGTATGCCTTTAATTCAGCCATTTTTAATGACTGAAATCTTCTCAGCTACAAAGGTTATAGCTATGTGGAAGAAGTGCATGGAGGCTCTGTAAAAACAGAAAGAAAATATAAAAACAGAAGCAGCATTCAGCTTCCCTATTTTTAGCAGTCTTCAAAGTCAGATCGATTCAAATCGATGGAATTCCATACCATCGATTTGATTCTCAAAAGAGGCTTGCTGTACACCACCTCCAACATAAATACATACAAATATAAAAAGAACAGTGAGTAGGAGGCCACTTACGTCTCGAAGTCAGAAAGGCTGGGATCGTCAGAGGTCTGGCTCAGGTCCCCTGGCACCTGTCCAAAGGCAGAGCGCATGAGGCCATAGTGAGCTTTTCCATTTGCATCGAGCTGAGTTTGCTGATTAACACTGTACTGTTGTATAAACTTCCAAACCAGCTACTGTATATTCTGTAGCTTACTTTCCAGGCATGACAGTCCAGTGATATTTACAGGGGAAAAAATGAATTTGGACCCAAAAAAAACTTGGGATTTGTCATTTGCTTTCATAATATAACATGTTTCTGAATCAAACAAGATATTTAGCTATTTAAAAAGTAGGAGAGTACTTGATTTTATGCATCAGGAAATAACTGAATTGTTTGTAACTGAATGGAATTGTGGTTTTCTTTTCACGATCAATCGTCGCTGTCACAGCGGAGTACTCGATCGCTGTTGCACATCCCTAATATATGTGTGTCTATATATATACATATAAATATACTGTATATATATGGGATGTGCAACAGCGATCGAGTACTCGGCCGTGACAGCGACGATCGATCATGAAAACGATGATAGTGAAAAAACTGTATGCGGTCTAAAGTATAGAGGTGAGAAGAGAGAAGCATGGCTTCGAAGTCACGTAGTGATGTCTGGGTTAGCTACATACATATCTGATTAATCTAATATAGGATGCATTGGGATGTTAACATTTATTAACATGCTGAATGCGCTGTATATCACCAGTGTTTAGTTTCATGCTCAAATCCAATGCCTGATATTGACGGAGTTATTTGAGACGGTCATTTTGCTTTTAGGTGTTTCTTTTTTTTTTTAAATACTTGTTATAATAATGCAGCAGTGCTTTTTTCGTCATATTTGTTCAACAGTCATACTTCAATTAAAATTGTTTTCGTACTTCATACAGCTTCGAAAACGTGCAGGCGATTTCAGGAATCACTTGATAATGTAGATGAAAATATAGCACAAATCTGCCATAAACATAGCAATGAGAACTTTATAGAATTCTAGCCTATAATAAATTCTGTCCTTGTTTCAGCACGCTGTTATGTAAGCGCATCACAGTGGGAGCTCTCTCTCGCGCTATAGCACGTAACTTAAAGGGGTCATCGGATGCAAAATTCACTTTTACATGTTGTTTGAACATACATGTGTTGGCAGTGTGTGTACACAACCACCCTATATTGATAGAAATCCACCCAGTGTTTTTTTTTTTTTTTAAATCCCAAACTCCAAACCCCTTTCTCGTATCAAGCCGTTCACAGATTCTTGGTAGAATGATGTAGTTCTGCACAGGCCCCTCCCACGATTGTTAATTGACAGTGGCGTCAGTCTTTGGTTTTAGCACAGATCCGCCCTGAGTGAGCTGTAGACAGTCCGCCATTGTTTCGATGTCAGAGCGGGTATAGACAAGAATGTCTCCTAAGTGATTTAGGTGTTCTGTTGTTGGATGTAATAATGAACATGGCAGTCGTCATTTACTCCCGACATCTGAGCCGCTGAAGATGCAGTTGATTACGTTTGTTTTTTAAGGGAATGCACCCCGATCTACCTAAATGCATTTATGTTCGCGCAAATCATTCGTGATCCAGCTTCACCAACAGAAAATGTGAGTATAAGGTTATTTTTATGAATCTTTGCCAATCGCCTTTCCTAATAATGTGCTAGTTAGCCAGTTTCACGATGAATGCGGTTGAAGTTAAGAGTCTCTCAGAGAGCGGCTCGGAAGAGAGGGGCGGGGTGAGCAGAGCTCATTAGCATTTAAAGGAACATGCAACAAAACGGCTTGCTGTAAAAAGATCTGTTTTTGACAAGGTAAAAAAGGATGTTGCTTTACACTACCATTGAGTAATTTTAACCAAAGTATATTATAGTCTTTTCATTAAGACCCTAAAGAATCATATCAACTTGTGGAAAATGGCCATCCGAAGACCCCTTTAAAGTTCACTGGAATTTCATAAACATAGCATTGTAATTAGAACTTTATAGAATGTGAAATCTATAGTAAATTCTGTCTGTTTTCTTTCTCAGCGTTTCAGCGCGCTGTTATGAAAGCACATCACGGTGGGAGCTCTCTCTCGCGCGCTATAGCACGTAACAAAGTTCACTGGCATTTGCATCCTTTTATGCAGATACAAGTTGTAATGTTACGCCTATGTTATGTATCTAAGATATCTGATTAATATCATAGGATGTGTCATAGAATGGGCTTCAGTTCATTGGTATAAAGTCACTCTTCAGCTTCACCCCAGGCAGCTATTCCTTTTTAGATGCTTCTTTTTTAATAACATTTCTGCATCATAATCATAATCTAACAGTGTTCTAATCATGTGTTCATGTTTTCATAGACAGGTTTTCATGTCATTTTATTTTTAACATTCATTTTTATAACATTCTTCAGATATATTCTTTATCTCCATTACGGCAATGCCCGCCCCCCGAGTACTCGTTTTTGAAACCTGTCAATGATCGAAATGAGAAATTGCCAAAAATGCCCATCCCTAATATATACACACACACACATTATAATAATGAACATGTTCAACTCATAAGGGCCTATTTGTGTCATAATAGATTGATTTAATTGACGCATCTCAACAAAACAGATAATACAATCTATTTTTCCAGCATTATAAGCAATGAATACAATTTTAGGCAAGCAGTAAAAAAAATCCTGTTCAGAGATTTGGAATCTGCCAGATTAAATAAATAAATAAATAATATTTGTATTCAGCAAAGATACATTAAAATGATCAAAAGTGACAGTAAAAATGTGTGAAATATTTATATTTCAAATAAATGCTGTTTTAAACTTCCTATTCAAAGAATGTTTTCAGCATTGATAATAATAAGAAATGTTAATTGAGCATAAATTCAGCATTGTAGAGTGATTTCTGAAGGATCATGTGACACTGATGACTGCAGTATTGACTGCTAAAAATTCACAGGAATGAATTATATTTTAAAATATAATTAGAAAATTTATTTCAAATTGTAATAATATTTCACAATATAAGACTATATAAGACAAATAAATGCAGCCTTGATGAACATAAAAGAACATTAAACGTTTTTACTTATCAACATAACATTTTATGTAACTTGTATGTACAATATATACAACTTTAATAAAACCACTTGCCCTAAGCAAATTTTGTCAAACATAAAATCACAAAGGCATTTCAGTGTACTATAATGCTGATGGGAAATTACTTCACTACTTAGATAATCTATATAAAGCTCTGCACATTTACCCCTCATTCCTGAAAACACCGGAGCCCAACCCGGAACAATGATCTAATCCTATTTGAGTGTGCATCTTATCTCGTGGTGAAAGTGTGGTAATGTCAGCATTTACAGGGGTCACAGGCTACTGCATCTTGGCAAGCAGTGGCACCAGAGAGGAATGGACACATGAGCCATGGAGGCTAGATAAACCATTCACCGTATACAGTTCAGCACAGTTACAGAAGGCCATGGTTCAAAGCCACTGCTGTCAGATGTATCAAAAAGTAATCAGTGGCCAACAGATAAGCAGTGAACAGGAAAGAGCACACAGTGACCGAGTGTGCCACTAGAGACAAACTGGTCAAATTAAATGGACACTTCATCCAAAAAACTAAAATAGCTTTGTGGAAGGGGAAAAAACTCATTTTAATTGTTGAAAAAAAAATTATTATTGTCTTTTCTTCACACAAAGCTATCACATGGCTTCAGAAGACTTGGAAATGCATATTGCAATTCATATAATGTTTTGGATTACTGATATTGATATTTACCTGTTTCAATGTTATGTTATTTGCTTTCTTTTAGGTTAATGCCATATATGTTTGAGTATAAAAATGCTTGAATGCTATGGAAAGTACTTGCAATAACGCAGTCATAGATATTGATATGGAACTGGAAAAGAAGTATAATAAGTATAAAAAGAAATATAAAAAGAATGAGGAGTAAATCTCTCTTCAGATGCGGCCTGCATTAAGCATGAAGGACACCTGATACCCTATCGCCACTATTGCTGATTAAAGTTTGATAATAGAGTTTTTAGCTTAGCTGATTTTAAGTTTTATTTTTGCATTAACTGATTTGTATTGTAACCAATAAAATGAGTGTTTCATTGTTATAATTGCCTCCCATAAGATTTTACTTTAAACTACAAACTGACTTTGTTTTAGACACGTTAACCATATGTTAAATATAATATAAATTAATATAACATAAAACCGTGAAGTGATTCTTCAGCTATTTTTTTTTCCTACGAAAATAATAACAGCATATAAATTTGGAATGACCTGAGTGTGAGGGCTGGGTTGACAATATTGAATAACAGATTTAAATCAATCTTTAATTTAAAGAACAAATATTGACCCTAAAATCTTAATCTAAAATGTAATCTATGCTGTTTCCTGTTGATGCTGGAACAAAACTTCACATTCGTAGCTTGCCTGCCATCCAGTAATCACAATAAGCTTTTGATATAAAACATGGTCTGAGCTCTCAAATTCTGTAAGTTTCATCACACAATTTAGACAATAAATGTAGTTTTGATGCTCTTTAACGTGGCGTGACTGATTGATCAGTTTAAATGGCACATCCTCTTCACTATTAGTTATAGCAAGAAACAGAAATTAATGAAGATCAGAAGGTATGTTGAAACAACTGTTTGTTGTACTGTTGTATATGAAATTTTTCAGATTTCAACCACAGAAAGACATCAATAAAACAGCTTGTAAACAATACGTCACATCACATTTAACTCAGGAAAGCTATTCAATGGCCACAGCTCATTAGTTAGCTAGAAAATAAATCTTTGATAAATATATTCACTACATGAAATGTTCTTTATATATTTAATCAACCAGTTAGCGATGTCTTCAGTAAAGTATGTTTGAAAAAAACTATTCTGCAAAAGGTTTTATGATGGCCATTATTAAATGTTTTATATTTCGATAAGAAATTGTAGAAACATAATTATATCATTAAAAAATAAAAACTTTGAATTTAAAATTTGAATTAAACATTTTGATTGTTGATACAAAAAATAAACAGCAGAATTGCATAGTTTGGAGCCTGTTGTTAATATGAATATTTAATATTAATGTACCAACTGACAGGGTTCCCTGTATAGTTTACAGTCTTAGTTTGTCAACTTGATGTCATTCCAAAACCACAAAAATTTTTAATTTTATTCCAAAACAGCAATCTATAGTATGCCATTGTTTATCTAGCTAGGTAAATGCTTGCGTTTGAGACACGGGAAAGTAATGTGGCACAGACAGACAGTTGATGATGGACGAGGGGGCAGACCTATGGAAGCAGACAGCGATCTGCCCAGAGTGCCTGGACTGCAGAGATAGAGAAGAAAGAACAACCACTCAATGAGGGTACGGTTTCACACACCCACAGAGAGGAGTGTGTGTGTGTGTGCTTGCATCTGCTTACCGGCCCGCGCAGGTCGATGAGTTCCTGTCTCATCTGTCCGATCAGGTTGTCTTTGGCCATGAGGGAGCAGTACAGCCTCTCGTTAAACTCTATCAGCTCTCCGTGCATCTCAGCCACCTAAAAACACACACATTGACAAACTTGCATCAAACTACCAGTGAAATATGCTGTTTAAAAAGCACTAGTGCTCGGCAGCTGTTGCGAAGCAGGTTGTAGTATGTGACATTTCTTAAAGGCATGTGAATATGAGTAAGCTTGGTTTTGACTCTCAGGTGTGGAAGTGTTCAGCCGGTGAGCATTAGCTGCTCGTTACAGCGAGTCTCACACCTGCCCGGCGACTCGTCAGCTGTCACACAGAGTAAGTGACACAGACATGGAGGCAGGCTCCAGTCTGCTATTCAGAACTTGCATTCATTTGTTTATGGAAATCATATGTCAGGGTATATTTGGGTTAGCGGCGTTTTGCCTGACAGACGCATCATGTCACTTTTTGACATGTTTGTCCTGGTTGCAAGGCCACACCTGGCCAGAAAAACAGGCATGAATGAGTCAAAAAAATGAGTAATGCAAAATCCTGACCTTGAAAGTGAAGGCAAAGGCCATAAGAGTGCAAATTCAAATGCATTTTTTGAAAAGGATGGACACAAAAGAGAACATGAAACAAAGTGCCTTTTGGGTTTTAGGATATTCTATTTACATATGCTAATACAACCAAAATTAAATTAACCTAAATTAACAAAGTCTTGATCACTTGACCTAAACTTGTACGGTGCATCCTAACCAGATGCAACATAGTAAGTCTCATGTATGTAAATGTTTTTTTTTTTCCTGACATCTCGTCAATTGCTTGGTTTCTATTCTGAATCTCACTGGTCCAAAATCCTGCTCCATATAACATTTGTTTTGTTTTTTTGTTAGAGTGAAAATACAAATTATGTTGCATTAATTTTTGTTAACATAACAATGAACATTTATTGCATTCAAGTCAACAAAAAAAATGAGTGCATATGTTTTTACATTTACTTTCTATAAAACTTTTATTGCTATATCGTTTTTAGGTTTTCATGTCAAATATCAAACTACGTATATATTTCTGAATTTTTATATTTTACACTTACTTTATATCATTTATATTTCTGTCTTATTTATGCATGCATCTTACACAAAAATTTATTTTAGATCATTGTTTCTGATTGATATTGTAGCGTCTGGACCACTCAAACACACAATATATATTTTGTTAGCTAGATTTAACAAATACACTGTAACACCCCAGGAAGCCGAACAGGCCGCTGGTTCCATAACAACCCTGACACAGATACTTTTATGACCTTGTGGAATGTGAGCAGAGACTCACACACAAATGCACAGTAGAAATTGACTTTTCTACTAATTAATTCATAGGAAAACCTTTCTTTGAATGAACAGTGTATCCTTCAGGTCATGGTGTATGTTGTCTTTGATATTTTTAGACTATTTTAGGCATGCTTATGAGGGAACACATTCCTGTCATCCTTTCACTATATGTAATCCTACCTTGTTTAGTATCTATGAATTCGCATATTTACTTATATGCATATTAACAAACAAAAACATTAATTTAGCATGTTTTATATTTTACATTTATTTGAATTAGACTCAATTTATTTGAATTTATGCATAGTACCAAAGAAAAACATTTTGCATATATTTTTACATTTATTTTTATAGCATTTTAATTTCTAATTTTTCCTCTATGCAAGGTCTCTTACAAAATACTTATTTTGCGCATTTCACACTTTCATATTTTACATGTATTTAATGTCATTTTCATCTAACAATAACATTTACTCTGCATGAAGCAAACCATAAAAGTGAGTGATTAACTTTACATTTGCTGTCTTTTGTCTAAGTTCTAAGCAAATCACTTCCCACTAAAAATACATCACATTGCACCTGAAGTAGACAAAAAATATATGAAGTACACAAAAAAAAAAGACAAGAATTAAAACTTCCTACAAAAAATTTAATTTCAAACAGTGCTGAACGAGTGGGTAGCAGTCTCAAAGAATCTCACAAAGCAGTCTGAACTACAGAAATAGCTTCAAAACTTTTGTAACTGATTGTCAGACACAGTCCTCTATCTGGCTACTTCACTGCCTAATGTAGTGCTTTATATAGCACCTAGCTGTTTCACAGCATAAAATCCATTTCTCCAAGTCTTTTTTTAGTAGCTTGTGTGACAACTTCAAAAATAGTGACCCTTTCAACGTGTTAAAAGAACGTCAAGCTTCAAAACATATATTTTACAAGAGAACTATACACATCTCTTGTCAAGAAGGTGATTGCAGGTACTGGAACACAAGCACGTACAACAATCATGCAAGCACAAACATTCACAACACCATGACAAAAGAGTGATTATCCATCAAGCTGGATACAAACGGGAAATTATGTCAGTTCGTTCTGCCATATTTACACACCTAGATCGATACACACCCATTGACTACATCCACGGATTCAGGTCTTATTCATCTCGCCATGGCTCCGCATGGCACACCACTCATAGTATTCTCATTCATCACATTCATTTATCTGCGGCCCTGCTTTCGCACAGGGCATTAAAAAATGAAAATTAATTTTAAGTGTCAAGGAACCCAATTAATTCTCTGCTAGGAAGCAAGCTAATCAGTTTGTTGTTCAGTAAGCAATAAGCCGGCTGCGTCCTTCCAGGTCGCTGGGTGAATTTTCCGACCTACGCTGCCGGGTGTTAGCGCATTGGATTTATCTAAACAGGTGACAGGTTCATGCACTTCAGACAACGCATCAAACCTCATTACTGGGCCTTAGCAGGAATCCAAGTGTGTGACTGTATCTGTATTCACTCATTGTAATTACGGGTCACCCTAGTGCTCCAGCACAGATATCAAGAACACTGTATTCCACAATTATCCCTAGTCATTATTTCCAAGAGGGAAAGAAAAACAATTGTGCAGAACAGAACAATTGTGCAGAACAGAAACACCACACAAGCACAGCATCGCTGAAATAAGTCAAAGCCGAGGTGAAACCGAATAAATGTCAAGAAGGATGAAAAGCATGTGTGCGTTTTCATAACACGCTCATAAGCAATAAGCTGAAGTAGATGGGAGCATATTAATGAGAGGAGATTTAGAGGAGTTGATTTTTCATTTTTAAGATTCACAAGGAGAGAGAAGGATATTTTGAGACCGATGTGTTTGCCAGATGCTTTCGCCTTTGAATAAAATCAATTTCAACTGATTAAAACAGACTTCAAATGGATTTAAACCACCAACAAAACAAAATGAAAAGGAAAGTTTCTGATTTTTTTTTAACATAGTTGCTTAATGGTTCCATTAAGGATTCTTTTATAGGCACCATAAATGCAATATAGGATCGCATTTAAGGCCTGTTAAAAATGCATAGAATATATTAAAAATATATAAATAAAATAATACAGATAATTTATTAGACATTTTTAATAATAAATAGTTATTCATTTAATAAAGTACTTAAACCAATAAAAATGTTGCAACTGGGTTCGGTTCATAAAACTGAAAAGAATAAGAATGTCATTCGTTTGGTCATTCACTTAAAGGGATAGTTCAGCAAAAAATGAAAATTACCACATAATTTACTCACCCTCAAGCCATCCTAGGTGTATATAAGCAAGCCTAACCAACCAGTGCTTTCACAGAACAGCTTGCAACATTAACACAAAAGAACACTTATTGACTCCCAACTCAGGAAGGAGTTTGCCAAATTAGGGGCAAGTAACCAAGATTAATGGTCAAAGAGATGCACAGCTGACCATCACACATAAATCTGTGATAGAAATCATGAGCTACATACTTCCTCGGACTGGTTTCCCCCACACAGGACAAAGGCCAGGCTCCTTCTAGACCTTTTGACCTTTTTGTTCCTCACAAAGCACACCCTCACGTTCACAGGACGACAGAGAGACTGTGTTTTACATATGTGGATGTATCTAAAATCATCTTAAAAGGACTTATAAATGAATATCAGTCCATTGCATAACTTCATAGCATGTATGTAACCCACACATTTGTCTATAATGTTCTAATCACTCATTGTGTATGTATTTTGTCTGACCTCGTGTGCCCGTCTAAAACTTCAACCAGCCCACAATTCCGCAACTTCAGCCAACGCCCAAGACTTCACTACAAACCACCACTGAACTTCCAGCCAATCAGCAACCTTGGGAAACCCCTTTCTGCAATGATGACAACAAAAAGGAATCCCTTAACACAAAGGCAAAGCAAGTACAACCTCAAGATTCTAGCTGAACTGGTGCATTTAATATAAAGTTTATAGCCTCATTGAGAGACTCAATGAGAGGGTTAATTAGATGATTGATGGTTGTTCAGGTCTATGCAATAGCATATATTGCTATAAACTTGAGATTTCATATTTTCACTCTTCTAAACTCATTCTTTCCTCACTTTCTCAACTTTCTGCAACTTGTGTGAATGTATGAGTGCGTATGTTTATGTGTTAGATCAGTTTATATATCTAAGATTTATCCAATAAAGCCTTATTTATATTGAAAAGAGAAGTATCTTGTGTTTTGTGCTTACAAGTTAATGTCTTAAACTGCCGATCTTGTTACTGTGCTAATAAAGTGTTTTCACTATATTTTGGATATTAATATCCATGCAGAGTTGATGTTGTACTTCAATTGCACTAACTGTCATATGCGCGTTCACAATATAACGCTGTTCCGGTCAATGATGTAGGACGTCAGCATAGCGTTAGCTCCAGTGAGAATATGCTAGTCTCACGAGAACCAATGTTTGTTTACTTCTAATTCGTGACCAGTCTTTTGTTTTGCTTCTCACCGGAGTTTACACTATGACAACGTCCTACGTCATCGGCCGGAATGGCGTTCTATTATGAACGTGCGTATGACAGTTAGCTAAAGTTAGAGATTAGTGTTTATAAAGTTTTAAATATGGATATTTTTCTTACAAAAACGCATCGATTCGCTACAGGAGGCCTTTATTCACCCCCCGGAGCTGTGTGAGGGATGCGTTTTATTGGACTTTTTTTGGACTATTGAAAAACAACACCCATTCACTGCCATTATAAAGCTTGGA